TAATTTGAATCCAAGTTTGGAATATGATCACTTAAGTGTAGATATAAATCCTTTATGTATGGGCAATCTATGTCAGCCAAAACCACAAACACAGCACAATATCATGAAAGGAACCATCTAGGATTTAGAACATGTTAATTGCCTTTTTAAATTTATTTTTTTAAGTTGTGGATCAACACAATACATTTCTTTTATTTATTTATATATGGTGCTGAGGATTGAACCCAGGGCTTCACACATGCCAGGCAAGTGCTATACCACTAAGCCACAACCCCAGCCCTAATTGCTTTTTTATTCCTATATAAACTTGAGTTTGGATAGACTGCTCTATTCAAGGCATAGCTGTTATGACTACACAGAGACCTGCTCTGGTTATTTGATAGACATGTTATTAAGGAGAAATGAGTGAATGTGTTGAATAATGCTTAAGAGATTTTCCAAAAATAGTCTTGATACATTTAAGAAACTATATTTAGAACTGTTGCAAATGTTCCATGATGAAGAGAATATCTGTTTTTTCTTGCATTTTCCATGTTGAATTATGATCAGAACAAAAATATCTACATTGGAATGTGAAGTTAGTAAATATAAATGTGGAAGAATGTGTGTAAATATTATGATAAATGCAGTCTTCCCACAGTTAACCCACTGCTGATGACTATCTTGTGTAAGAGCACATCCTAAATGACTTTTAGGAACTGTACATCTCAAATTCCCAATAGAAAAACTGAGCATAAGGAATATGTATGAGAGATGGGAATATAAAGTACAGGAMAAAAGCCAGTAAGGAAAATGATTTCTTCAGACATAGAGATTGTAGAATCAATGTCCTTCTCAGAGTTGGAAGTTAGAAATCCTTCAGGTCAATGATGGAGCCAATAGTATTCTCATTAATTTTGTCAATAATAAAATCACTCATAACTCAGAGAAAAGTAAAAACCATAAATGCTGATAATTTGGACTAGGTAAAACAACATAGAGACTCATAAAATTAATGATGCTAATTCTAGAATTAAAATGTGAAGTTGAGAAATGTATTAATGTCAAACGGAATGCAGCTGACTGTGTAAAGGTAACCACAATAAAGCATGCATGGGATCTTAGGTAGGAAAGTATAATATTAATCATACCAAGAAGAGTTTCAAGAACCTCTGACTACTACTGTCCTTTTAATAGGAGTTTATCAGTTTAAAAAAAAGAGATTAATTTTTAGTTTTTGTAATTTCAAGATAAAAATGAGGATATAGACAGAAGATTTATTTTGTTCCACTTGTTTGTTTTTGTGGTGCTGGAATTTGAACCCAAGCCCTCATACACACTAGATGAGTGTTCTCCTACTGAGCTGCACCCCCAGCCCAAGAGATAAGGACAAAGCAAAACAAACTTTCCTTGACCTTAGCCCCCAAGGTAAGAGTATTAGCATAATTTGTTATAATGGTGAAAATAAAAATCTCTTTCTCTTAAAAATAAAATATAAATTGAAAAAATAACATATAATTTTGAATATGAAAATAAACACTGCAGGTACGATTTATTCAAAGGAAGGATTGCAATTGAGCCAATTGCAATATTTCTATTCTTTCCTATATGATGTGGAAAGAATAGAAAAAACATGTGTCAAAAAAAACCTTTATACACATCGCAAAATAACATCTTTAGGTTGTCATTGTGAGCAGAATTATTTTCATGTTTTAACTGCTTGCCTCTATTTCCACTTATCTTCATACAACTCTTTATGACTACTTGTTTACTATTTCCTTTTTCCATTTTTTTTCATTTTTCTATTTTATTTTCTTTCTGTTTTCCAGAAGCAAAGAATGACTATACTCCATTCTAAAAAAAAAAAACTTGGTATGTTGAAGAAACAGGATTGAATTTATGAATTTATCTAGAAAACCATGTTGCTGAAAAATGAGAATATTTAACAACTTACCTTGAATTTCTAAATTATTTATTCAAAATCTAAATAAGTTCACCACAGGTAAATGTAGCTAACAAGGGTGGGGGAGGGTGTTTATAATTTGCTAAGAAGCAATACATTTAGATACATCTAATAGTCTCTATTTGACAATTTATGCTACAAGAGTTACAGGATAAAAACTGTTTTTGTATCCAATTTAAAAACATGAATGTTCTTCTTTTTACCCTAGAGCTTAAAGACGATTTACAGAAGTAGGCCAGTATGAAGTATTGCCACAATAAACTTGTTTTACTTCTCTTTTGTAGCAAAAATTAGAAAATCACTGCAATGGAGTTGAGTCATAAAATACGTTAGCAATAAAACAAATATAAGCTATCACGTTTATTTAATTTCTACTGTTACCACCATCACTCAGAAACTTCTTCAAAGTCTTTTATATATTTGGAAATAATTTGTTTGTTTTGAAAAAAATCAAAGATGAAATAACATTTTTTTTCAAAATGCTCAGTTGTGAACAAAACTATACCTCATAAAACAAAATAAAGTCCTTTTACTTGTTGCATGACTGTGAGCAGAATTATTTTCATGTTTCAACTGCCTGCCTCTATTTCCACTTATCTAGAAAATAATCTTATTTCAAAAATATTAACCTCTATGTACATGCTATGGTAATATACTTTATTTGGCATCATCAGCTGTTGATTAAATATATGGGATATATCTACACTAAGCAATTAAGTAAACATCAAAAAAGTTATTTATTGTTAATTAATTCTAACATACAATGTTTTCTGTTTAAATATTAATGTTTGCATTAAATTATACTATAGACAAACTTATTTTATTTGTACTTGGTCCAAGTGATTAGAGTTGTAATTAGTGAAGGTGACATGACAAAAATAAAACAAAGAAAAAATTATAAATATAACTCTACCRTAAATTAATGCAATTATTTTGATATTATTAAGATGTTATCCAAATCGTTTCACAAAAGGCAAATTAACATTTTATTTACTAGTTTTTATTAGCAAATAAGTAGCTTTTGAATGTTACTAGAAAATGTAGAGTGTATGGAGATTTTATTTTATATATCACCTTGCATTTTTAATATCAAAGGATAAATTACCACAAAATAGACTGCATATACCATTGACATTATCTCTTTTTGCATCAGAAGTTATTTATGAGTCTGGGGATGTGGTTCAGGGTTAGAGTGGGTGCCTAACCCTGGGTTAGGCAAGGCCCTRGGTTCAATCTCCAAACCACAGAAAAATGAATTGTTTTTAAATTTCCTTGGAGAATTAAGTAATATGACAGGAATTCTGAAGTCTATCAATTGAGATTAAGGTAGAAAGCAGATACTCAATAAAAATTCACAATTCTCTAAACAGAGTGAAGAATTGCTGCAACCTGCAGGACTGTTAATTCAAGTTCCTGGAAGGGTCACTGAGGGGCTGGAGAAAAGACAAACAGACATATAAATAAAGAAAAAAGCTATATCTTGGGGGTTAAATACAACCCTGGTAAGGAGGCAGTGACCCACAACAAGCTCAGCACATTTATTATATAGGTATAAATATCAAAAGTATTTATTGTGAAAAAGTTTCTTCAAAGTAAGAGAAGCAAGGTCATGAGTATTAGCAGCCTGATTTTGATTATCAACTTGTACCTACTACTCTACCCTTAATCAGCTGGCATCTGAAATTCAAGGTCAAGAACTGAATAGCTCTGTGACTGGAACAGAACATCCTATTGAAAATGGCATCCCCATAGCAACTGGGCAGTCCCAAAGTGATGTCTTTGCACTGAACTGAGTGTTCCCAATAGAAGCATTGCTCCTGTCACAGGGTAGTTCAAAGCCCACAATTCAGTCTCTGCTTCTAACAAAAGATGATACCATGGAATGAGATAAGAGTTCTCCACATTAGAAGGAAAAAAGAAAGAAAGTCAGGTTGAGAGTCACCTCTGGTTTTTCCCAGAAAGTCATCGATAAAAGTTCATCAATAAAAGTTAAGACAGAGTACACATACTCAGAAGTAAGATTTCTCTTCCTACAGCTACAGTCAAGGGTGAAGCAGTTCATTAGCAGTATAAAACACATTTCTCAGGCTGTGCAATTCCATAATTCCAGGAATCCCGGGATAGTCATCGTTCCTACCTCACTGCCACTAACCATTCAGATTCTACAAAGCAACACTGCGTCATGCCTTTAACCCTGTTTGAGTCTCAAGAATTCCCAGGGTCTTTTGTCACCTTTAAGTCATGAATATATAGTGTCATAAGTTCTCTATTAAAATGGTTCTCCATTATTATTTTTTTGGTCTTAAGACATATGCATATTCTTAATTTTATGATTTTTAATTGATTATCTACAATTGATTATCTTCTATAAAGAGAGGTGTTTCCTTGTCATCTACTTGGTTACTGCAGTGCAGAGTTCATGCAAGAAAAGAATGCATGTTTATTTCCCTATATCTACCAATTATCAAAATAGTTAACTTCCTTCTGTTTCGTCAAATTTCCCTTTTGAGCAACATTATGAACTTTATGTTTTTCACATATTTGATGCCTTCCATTCATTGCTTTGCTCTTTGAATTTCTTTGGGTGATCAAATTTCCTTATCTTTTGCAAATAGAAATCCATTATTGAGCCTCTAAATCTATTGATCATGATCATAGCAGTTATCAGCCACTTCTTTATGAAAATCTGATCCTTTTCAATCAGATTTGCCATGCAAAATTATGTTCAGGATGCTAGAGATATTTGTATTGATTCTTCATTATTTATAAATCTCTTCTTGGTCAGAGCTAGGAAATACATATGTTTGTATGTGAGTGGMATGTATGTATGGATAGAATTATTGCATTTTAAAATGTTTTGTTTTCGTTTTCACTGAAATGTACTGTGCATATTAAGTAGTGCGTATTTTATAAATGCTGATGATTTTTCAAAGATTAAACACATTCAGCCAGATACATGTCTGTAATCTCATTGACTCACAAGGCTAAAACAAGATGATCACAAATATGGGGCCAGCCTTTGCCACTTGGAGAGACCCTGTTTTAAAATTAAAAATGATTGGCCCTGAATCAAGGTTAGGAGTTTGTTGAAGCTGTTGGTTTCAAGCAGAAGCCTAACAAATGTCATTCTATGGTCTGTTGGCTATTTWAGAACTTTAGAAGTGTAATAGTCAATACGGTAGAAAGAAACATCTGAAGGGGGAATTAAAAAAAAAAAGAAAAATAAGTGAATAAATAAGTAAATAAAATTAGAAGTGAAAAGGTTTGGGGGATAGGGTTCAGTAGTAGAGCACTTCTGAGTAACAATAATTCCCCAGTAACAAAAAATAAATGAACAGATAAATAAATATATAATCACATTCATAAATCAAAATCCAGATCAAGGGCTGAATTTTATCATTGCCTCATAACTTGTGCTATCAGACCTTATCCAGCTAAAATAATCACTATTCTGACTAGTAGAATAAAGTAGAATTGTCTATTTCTGCTATAAACATAAATGTATATACTTATAATTTACTCCTGGCTAATTTATCTTTACATATTATTTATAGAAGTATTTCAATTATTTTATTTGTTTTTCAGATATACATATGTGTGTACATATAAATGTACATATATTATGTATGCATGTGTATGTATAACAGTTTGAAGAGAGAAATATGTTAAAATAGCACAATCTAATACTGTCTATATATGTTCATAAATAAAATTAATATGATATATTTTATAATGTGAAAGTTATTATGCACAGATGTACATATATTATATACCCATGTATTATGGTTGTAATATATTGTAAAATATATATCCTGTATATATATATATATATATATATATATATATATATATATATACACACACACACACACAAATTTTGCATCTATGTTATGAAGTACATAAAAATTTTGGACTATGATATTTCCCTTTGTATTTTAGTCTTTTTCAACAACTATACATCTTTATGTCCATTATCCTTCCACCATAAAATCTACTTACTTCGTTTATCTAATAATAACAGCTTTATGTTAGTTTTAGTGTACGTATTTACCACGTATTTATTTTACAGTTTTGTTTTATCTCTTAGTTGGATACTTTAAAAAAAAATCTAGTCTGATAAAAGTAATTCTTAACTTCAGATATTTAATTTATGTTAAAGATTGTTTTGTTGCCCAAAAAAGTTCAAATTTAAAGAAAATTTTAAGATTAGTATAATCAGACACCTGTATATTTTATAATCAGTTTCACCAATTACATTTTGCTCCATTTTCTTTATGTTTTTTACTCCTCTTTCTCCTTTACAGTTGTTCTCTTCATATATCATATACACATAGAAAATACTCATTTAGCATAGTTTTATATTCATAAATTTTAGTTACATTCCTGTAGTTTAGTGGAATAAAATCAATTTGTCAATGCATAATTCATGTATTGATTTCCATGATGATTAACATTGACAATTAACGTTAACAATGCTATTTAAGGGTCTTTTTATACATAGCTGTGTAAAGTACAAAATTCAATAATAGATCTTTATTCAATAATCACTTTGTAAATAATGAAGGTATATCATCATCAGTAACCAATAATGCTTCTTTCAAAATCTTAGGTGATTTGTCACTGTGTATCTGCTATTCAGTTCTTGCATAGTCAGAAATGCTAGTAGTTGTGTTGCCTCATTGCCTATCAACTATAAACACATTTAAGGTTTGCAAAAACAATCAAAAGAAGGGATTGATCAAAAAGATAAAATTCCAACAAAAAATAAAGAACGATCAATCCACATGTTAAATTTAGTGTAATTGGATGCAGTTGCCTGTGGGAACATTAACAATGTTGTTTAAGGGTCTTTTTATACATAGGCAGAGGAAGTTAGTGAAGGCAAAATTATCCACATAAATGAAGAAGGTGATTATGGTAGAAATATATAGATGTCCCAGAGAAAGTGATGCCAGCAAATAATTACACATAAAAGTAACTCTTAGAAATATTTCACAGCATTTAAAGAACAAAAGATTAAATTGGGAATGTAATTCAAACATAGAAAGGATAAAAATTGAGAAGTATGTAAATTTCCAAAGATGTGAAGAAATACTTACTCCAATAAGATAATTTTTATTTATTTTTTTACTAAAAAAGGATCCAGAGCAATACCATTTTCSTATTGAATACTTAGCACTGTTAAGGATACCATTCATTTATATGATCACAAGATATGCAAAATGAATACTGCATCTTCATCTATTTCTGTATATATTTATACACACACAGATATACATATATACACATGTATGGGTGTGTGTGTAAACACATATACATAYATACAAACACACACATATCCCTGTTATTTCAAACTCACTTTTTATATACACTTGTTAAAAATCACCCTTGGAAATTAATGATACAATTTCCTTTTGAAAGAAAACAAAAAGGATGCTTAATGCCTATTAAAAAATATTAGGATTCTCTAATTGTCACATTTCCCTCCTGCAGCACAGCCCAATACAAGTACAGTTATTAACTGCTGCCATTACTTTACCTTATGGAAATTGTATCTCACAGAACTGGTATAAAAGTATTCATTCTTTATTGCTATGGGTGTGAGAAGTGATCTTTCCCTCATCACTAATCCTGAAGATCTTCATCTTCTATTAGCATTTATAAAACTGTGACAGGCAAACTTAAGAGCTTGCAAGTAGGGTAAAATCTCAGATTCCACATACTTCTTGACAGTTTTAGAGATGGATAAGCAGCATACATGACTTTCTAAAAAAGAAAAGAGGAAGGCCTCATAAACCAATAGTAGGATTTGACAATGTATCTAATCAGCTGTGAAAATGGTGACTAACCTCTATAATTGTATGAGCAATAAWTTTTTCTTCACTTTATTAAATGTTAATAAGGAAGTATTTGTTGGCTGAGTACCAGGATATGCTCAAAGGAAGCTGTCCTGATTTTGCTGACTCTCCTCTATGTAAGGGGACTTCTCTGCCAATCTGGCCATCTGCCTTGGTTGGTTTCCACTGAAATAACTTGTACTGARATGTGTCATTGGTTGGCAGATATTCTGACATTTTTCAGACATCAAAAATGTGCACTTGCACCTCACAGAAATGAAGGGAAAATCATAACTACTGTAGGTAGATACCAGGAGGATTGGTCAAATATTGACTGTTTCACTTGAGGGATAAGGAACCAAGGTACTTCTTAGGAAAGGATTGTTACAGTTGGTAGTTTTACAACTCAACTTTTTTTCTTTTTCTTTTTTTCTTTTTTAGTTCTCCATAGACCTTTATTTTTGTTATTTATATGTGGTGCTGAGAATTGAACCCAGGGCCTCACAMGTGCTAGGCAAGTGCTCTACCACTGAGCCACATCACCAACCTACAACTCAGTTTTTTTCTATGTTCCTTTTCAGTAATCCGTAAGTTTGGAGATGACAGTAAATGGCTTATTATTTACATTAATATTGTTGACATTGTTATTATTATGATGGTACTTTGTTTTTCACTGCTTTCTGGCTGTTAAAAAGGAGTTTTGTCTCTTTGTGGAAAATTGTACTGCACATGGTTAACTTTTGTAAATCAAACTTCAAACATTGACTAAAATTGGTTTTCATTTCCCAATTTGGTTTTCTAGTGATGATAATAGTAATCCAATGGAGAAACTGACCCAAAGCTACCTATACAAATATTTGCAGTCAGCTCTGCCCCCTAAAAAATTCTCTATGTTCTTAAGTTGAAATCAGGCCAAAAAGCAGCAGAGGAACAGGATTAAAATGAATTTCTCAAAGCACTTTGCTGTTGTACAAGACAAGTGTTTATTATACGAAAGAGTGGGATCCCATAGTCATGCCCAGATTCTGCTAAGCCAACAGAATCTACTTGCTGAAAGGCTGGATCAGACATGAAGATTACATATAGTTATAGARTACTGTATGGGCTGAAACTGGCATTTCATTTGGTTCAGTCATGAGACATTATCTTACAATTGTATCAAAAAGAAAAAGTGAAGTTTTGTTTAGTGAAATGGAGCTACTTTTTCCACCCATGCTTCCATGTCCCCCTTGACCCCAACCACAGCCAATGTGAAGACAAAGAAAATAAGAGATGAGGTCATGTTCTCCCTTTCCCAAAGGGAAAATGAAAGCCACATTCATCCATTTGAAGAATTTTTGGGGAAATGATGGAAAAGGGATTCAGGAGTGAAATAGTATAGTTTTGTTAGGGAAGATGTCCAAGCTTATCCTCCACAGATCCCTAAAAGATAAAGCTCTTTGATTCAGCTGGTGAAGTTTTGGCAATGTTCAAAGAAGAGAAAGGATACTATGTGATATTGTTAATGGTGCACCGGAGGCCAGATAAGTACAGATAATCTCTCACTAAAGATGTCTGAACATTCTCTTTTTTTGTTTGTTTGTTTTTGTTTTATTTTATGATGATAATTTTGATCTTGTCATGGTTAGTGAGTTGCTGAGTTATTCTCTCTCACAGTGCTCAGCCAGGGCAGGGAGTGAATCACAGTTCCTATCCCTTTGGTTATGAGAGTTAAACAACCACTACTTTATAGTTTATTATATTGCTAAGTCATGATATTCATGTGTAAAAAATGTATTCTGGATTTGAGATATATTCAATTTATAATGGGTTTCCAAGATGTAAGTCCAGAAACAATAGTACAAGTGTTTCTCAACTGAATGAATAGTAGACAGTTTATGTGATTTATTTATGTATTTCCCTCTCTCACAAATGGCAGAGGAGATTCTCTTAATTGGAAGAAACTGAATGTAAAGAAGAGTTATTAAGATATGTAAGTCTATTTTCCAAACTGTCACAATCTTAATGACCTGTGTGAACTCTAAATTTTCATGACAAATAATGTAGCTAATCAGATCATCTGGCAAAGGGAGGCAGTCCATTGAGGTTTTTGCTTTGCTACATCTCTAACATGAATCTAGGTGTACCTGATGTGAAAATCAGCTGTAATGTTGCTACTTGCACTTAACCAAACTCAGTACCAGTTAGATATGGCTAATATAAACTATCAGTTAGTTGGCTTTAAGTAAAGGAAATTATCCTTGATAATCTGGAGGGGCCAGGCAATCATTTGGAAGGACTTAAGACCAAAACTGAAATCTCTCTGCAGAAGACTAAATGCTAACTCAGTGCTGAGGCATCAGATTATGCTTGAGAGT